ATGTGATATGCAATTAGAACTTAGATCCTCTCTATTACTTTGGAGAGATTATTATCTTATTAACAACCGTCTACTTGTGTAGTGAATGATTATGATTTATTTTAAATCTCACATTCATCATAGTCGTGAATTGCACTTTTTCCTAAAGTGTGAACTTTTTCCTAAAGTGTACTCAAAGTAGATCAACGTCTATTAATATGGTAGTGGTAGTTCTACTATATTTTATTATAGTGGAATGTGTATCCATGTAGTGGACCAAAACAGTGTCCTGTAGCTCGCTGATCAAGTGTAAAGTAATTTAAGGTTCTACATTGAAGGTAAGGCTGTTTGGTGTCTATTGCTTGTTGCACTTCTCCCGCTTCACTTCCAATGTGTAGCCGCGAGGGGTGAATACATTGGAGCTGGCTTTACTTGCGTTAGTCTTTTTGGACCTATTATTAGCTTAAGTCTAAAATTAAATTTTGTTCATGACATCCTCCCAATATTTATTTTGTTATTCAAATATACGATTATGCATTTTTTAAATAATTTTGTACGAGATATATGTATCCGTAATAATATTAACGATACTGGGGAATGTATCCCTTTATTGCCCTTGTTTTCTTGGTTTCAGGGAGTCGAGAAAATATGTCAATCGGTAAATTTTCTCAAAACCTTTATTATCAATCGGAAAAACTAAATCTTTTTTGAGTAACTTTCTTTAGCTTAATATGATTTCTGTAGCTTTTCAATTCAAAAAATATATCAGTGTTAATATATTAATTAAAGTCCATAACTTTCAAATCTGTAATATATATGGAAAAATTGCTTCAAGGCCCCAAAAATGAAAATACAATGTGACCCAGCCCCCTGTATTATTTTTCATGTGTATTAGCCCCAAAAATGAGAACTCTGTGTGATTCAGCCCCAATTACAATTCCTAAGGGAATATATCCCCAAATTACCCCTCTCCTTCTCCAGATCTCTTCTTCTCTTCCAACAAACCCATCTCCTCTTTCACCCTCTCTCTCCAACCTCGTTGGGAACCTCCAACACCGCAGCCACCTCCTCCACCTCCGCCTCCCCTCGACCTCTACGACTTCATTCTCAGTCGTAGACCCCGCCGCCACCATCGCGCCGCCTCTTCTTCTTCCGCTGGAATCGCTAGATCTGGAGGAATCTAGGGATAGGGTGGGGTCGCTGGAATCGCTGGGATTGGCCGAGTTTGGTGGTGGTAGGATCGGTGGTGGGGTGGTCGGAGGTGGTGGTGGGGGGGAATAAGGCCCCTTCTTGTTTTTTGAAAAGCTGAAGTCTTTTGGGTTCAAATTTATCCTATCTGCATGTGTGCATCCTTTTGAGTTGCTTTCTATCCTTTTTTTCTCTCATTTTGTGTTGATTTTTGATGGACGTTTTTAGCAAGTTGTGAGCTATAAGTGAAAAAAAAACATGTAGTGTCACGCCCCGCTTCCCAAAATACACGGGAACCGGAACGTGAACAAGCCCGCGACGTCAAAAGATGAGATTGGGATATTACCACCAAATCTGTTGATTGTTTCACAAACGATTTTGTTGCTTCTTTACAGTAAAGTGGCCAACTACATCATGGCGAACAATTGGGAATAGAGTGAATGCTGTTATACAAAATTAAGATATTAAGAAAGAGCGGTCTTTAACATGTGAACATGGTTCAAATTCATATAGTTAATATTTTAACCATAATATTTATCATGTTAACTGTTGTAGTTAGCATGTTAACTCTTGTGTTTAACATGTTAACTGTTATGGCTAACATGTTAACTCTTGTGGATAACATATTAACTCTTGTGGATAACATGTTAACTCTTGTGGCTATATGTTAACTCTTATGGATAACATGTTGATTTTTGTGGATAACATGTCAACTCTTGTGGATAACATGTTAACTCTTGTGGCTATATGTTAACTCTTGTGGATAACATGTTAATTCTTGTGGATAACATGTTAACTTTTGTGGCTAACATGTTCATTGTTGTGACTAACGGTTATTTTAACATGTTAACTATTGTGGTTAACATGTTAACTATAAGAGCTTAGATGTTAACTAATTATATGAGGATTGATCTTACGCAGAAATATATAGATACAATCCCATACTGCTTGTTTAAGGCAACGTTCTCCTGCAACTGCAACCATTGCCGTAATCTATATAAGATGACATCTATTACTTTGTCATCGAGTCTTCCCCGCGGAGCAAATACAGTAGTTTTGGGTATGTAATTGTGCTGTTATCACTAACGATGACATAGCAAGAAATAAGTTACGGAGGGTTAAAATCTAAAACATGAAAGCTAACATCTAAACACGCAAACATAATAAGCAACTAACAGAGGTTCACAGTTAACATTAAAGAGAGTTAACATTAAATTACTAAACATGTTAACTCTTGTAGATAACATGTTAAAATCATCGAGCTCAATCCATGGCTAACATGTTAACTCTTGTAGATAACATGTTAACTCTTGTGGCTAATATGTTAATTCTTGTGGATAACATGTTAACTCTTGTGGCTAATTTGTTAACTCTTATGGCTAACATGTTAACTATTGTGGATAACATGTTAACTCTTGTGGATAACATGTTAACTCTTGTTGCTAACATATTATCTCTTGTGGCAAACATGTTAACTCTTGTGGATAACATGTTAACTCTTGTGGATAACATGTTAACTCTTGTGAAGAAGAAGAATTAGCACATATTCACACTTATGTTAAGTGATCCAGGTGGTTTTAACAACAATCACACCTATGTTAAGTGATCCAGGTGGTTTTAACAACAGCGTGGCTGAGAATTAAGTTTTAACAACAACGTGTTAGATGCTACGTATTATAGTTATCAATTTACGTATTATAGTTATCAATTTACGTAAATTGATAACTATAATACGTAAATTGATAACTATAATACGTAAATAGAACTATATTAACGTGTATATGACCCGAAATAACAGTTAACGGATAATGGATTACAAATAACAGTTAACGGATAATGAATTATAGTTAACAGTTTACTGAATATAATTATCAATTTACCAATTAAAGTTAACATGCTACGTATTATAGTTAACAAGCGAACTGTGAAAGTTAACATGTTACCAGTGTAACTTAACAAACGAACAAAGAAAGTTAACATGTTTCTGATGATATTTACCAAATAAATTACAAAATGGAACATGTTATCCTGATCTCATGCAAAAAGGAACATGTTACTCAATACAGACTAAAATACTATGATCTATGTATCATCACACTCACACGACACTACTAGAATAAACTTTTCTTTTGGAAAAAAAAGTTAAAAA